TCGACGGCACTTAACAACAACAACAACAACTGTAAATCAGGAAAAATAATGCACAATCTGATGACTCAAAAGACTACAATCCTTTACATTAACTACCAATTTGTAATATAGAAACCAGGGCATTTTATAAAAAAATAAGTAAATGTTGCTTATCTGATCAACAGAATTTAGACTCTGGGAAAATAATGTAAAATAGTTTCTTCTCTTCAACATATAGCTTTCAAGGGACTTGAAAATATAAGAAGAGAGTAAGATTTTTGGTTGATATTGCTTGCCCATTTGTTGGTAGGCCTAGATGTATAAAGTTTTTCCTCTATCCACGATCTACTGTTTCACCATAAAAGCCAAGCATGCAGACAATTTAAGTCAACCAAGGTTTAGATTTAGGAAGGTGAGTATTTGGAGAGAGAAGGACAAGGGAGTTATTGCAGGGAATTGCTGGAGTATTTAGGTGGATATTAGGAAGTGCTTGTCAAAAAGTTTTTCTTGAAATCAGGTTTTCAAGAAGATTAAATTGATGAGAGAATCTAATGAGTAGCATTGGAATGGATGATTTAAGGCAGTTAAAAAAAAGATGATTGCTAGTAAGGATGGAAAGAACTAATCAAGCATATTTTTAGAATACACAATAATTATTGGATTAAATGTTTTTCACTTAGCAAACAACAAATGCTAGTGAGGTTGTAGACAGATTGGAACGCTTACTCACTTTTAGTGAGAATATAGAATGGTATAGCCACTTTGCAAGGCAGTCTGCCACTTTTCTCAAAAAGTTGGAAATAGAAATACCACTTGACCCAGCAATTCCATTACTGGGAATGTACCCTAAAGAATCCAGAGCCACAACTCAAACAGATGTATGCTCACCTGTGTTTATTGCTACATTAGTCACAATAGCAAAGAGATGGAAGCAACTCAAGGGCCTATCAACAAATGAATAAATTAAAACACAATGGTACATTCACACAATGGAATATTACACAGCATTAAAAAACAACAAACTTGTAAAACATTACACAACATGGCCTGGAGGACATTATACCTAGTGAAATTTCTCAGTCAGAAAATGACAAAAACTGTATAACACTGCTATAATAAAATAAGATGGATAGGGGATGGGGAGAGAATGGGGAAAGCGTGTATAGATAATGAACACTGCAGTAGAATAGATGAGGGAAAAACCATCTGAAAGAAATATATGAGTAGGCATTATATGTAGGACAACACTCTGGAACAAAGGATGCATTGTGAATTGTGGGCCGTGGTGGGGTGGGGAAGAAGATGTGCAACAATGAATTAAAAAGAAAGATAATTTATAAATATCACTAAATTATATATTCCCAACTATGATATGCCAGGTATAAAGAGAAGCTTTCTTAAAGCTTAAATTTACATGCTAGACACATCGTTGTTTTTTTTCAGCTATTCTCACAGGGTCACAGAAAACTTGACGATTTTATTATCTGGTAAAAATATTTAATATACTAAGAGCCATGAAAACTCACCTATGAATATGAGACAAATGTTCATATGTTTTTACCATAGCCCAACTTTTATCAATATTTTTGTGATCATTTAAATCTGAATCTATTGAATGGTTTACTTATACATTTCCTAAAAGAATTTGCTTCCTCAGGACTCTTTCAGGAGTAATACATTTTCAATGTAACTTTTCCATGAATTTCTTTTTCTTATTCATTTTTAAATTATTATATTATTATGTTTTTTATTATTTTGTCATTATTACTTTTTCATCTAATTTATTTCGGATATTACTATATACAGGAAATCAAAAGATGAATTGCATTGGGGAAATCTTCTGTCAGGGACCTCTCCAAAATGAAAAAGAGCAGTGATAGCAGTCTAAAGAGTCAGATGTGCCTGATCCATGCCATGGTCATCACAATTACTAGCTGTGCATTAGACAGCTGGATAGTGATTAAGGATGACAGGGAAAAAAATGATGCGGTTGGGTCATGGTGCTGGAAAAGCGTATTGAACGTAGTTGAACAGTAATAGGGGTAATGAGTTTAGGTGTTTCAGAGACTGTGTGACTGCTTTAGGACAGAATAGAGTTCAGAGCTATTGTGTATAGGTCTCTGTGAGTTGCATATGACTCGACGGCACATATCAACAACAATTATATATTAGTAGGGATTTCTAGTGGTAAGATATTCTAATGTAATACAAATGGCATGCGGTTCAAATCCACCAGTTGCTTAGCGAGAGAAGGGTTGGCCATATTTTCCTGTGCATTTTGGTGCCGCTCAAAACCTGTGGAAGGGTCAGCTATGAGTCAGTTCCAACCTGATAGCGTACAACAATAATAAATTAGTAAGGAATCCTTGGTGACAAAGCTGATAACGAGTTAATCTAACAAAGGCAGGCAGTTTTAATCAACCCACTACAACACAGGAAAAAGATGAACAAACTCCTTCCGTGTGTTTACAGCTTCAGAAAACCCACAGGAGCTTTAGCTGTGAATCAGTTTCATCTCACAGGCACATAACAACAAATATTTAGTAACCACTTACGGTTGAGCTCTGGTAGCCTAGTGGCAAGAAGCTGCACTGCAGTCCCAAAGGCATGTGGTTCGAGGCCATCAGCTTTTCTGTGGGAGAATGGGCAGTCTCCTCCCATGCAATTAACTGCCTCTGAAAACCCACCTGAGGGTGGTCAGCTATGGGTCATTTCCCACTCGAGGGAAACAACAACTGCCATTAAGTTAATTCTAACTCAGAGTGACGACCTACTGGGTTTCTGAGGTTTTAAATCTTTAGAAGAGGAGACAGTCACCACAACAAGATAAAGGTAAATAATCCAATTGAAAAATGGGCACAGGATATGAACAGACACTTCACCAAAGAAGACATTCAGATGGCTAACAAGCACATGAAGAAATGTTCAAAATCCCTAGCTCTAAGAGAGACGCAAATCAAAACAACTATGAGATATCATCTCACCCCAGTAAGAATAGCAAAATTTAACAGAACAGCAAGCAACAAATGCTGGCGAGGTTGTGGAGAAACTGGAACCCTTGTACACTGTTGGTGGGAGTGTAAAATGGTGCAACCACTGTGGAAGGCAGTGTGGCGTTTTCTCAAAAAGTTAAAAATAGAGATACCATTTGATCCAGCAATTCCACTACTGGGAATATACCCCAAAGAGACCATAACTGACATCCAAGCAGATATTTGCACACCCATGTTTATTGCGGCTTTGTTCACAATAGCAAGGAGTTAGAAACAACCCAAGTGCCCATCAACAAATGAATGGGTAGAGAAGCTGTGGTATATTCACACAATGGAATACTACGCTGCATTGAAAAATAAGGAACTCATGCAGTATTACTCAAAATGGGTGACCCTGGAGGACATTATTCTGAGTAAAATATCTCAATCACAAAAGGACAAATACTGCATGGTGCCACTGATATAGAATGGGACTGACATCAGGGTTGGGATAAGAGAAAAACTGGATAAATTATGTATACTGCATTGAAACAGATGAGGCAGAGAACAGTTTAAAAGCGATATATGATAGGGTATTATGGTTATGACGAGTCCAGAATTAAGGTTGCATAGTGGAGTGTACTTGGGGTGGGGGGGTGCGGGGGCATTGTATACCAATGAAAGAATTTTTTACTTTTCAAAAAGAGGAGTGAACTGGGGGGGGCAGAGCAGGGAGAAAAGTGCAACATTGAATGAATGGAAATCCAAAATCTCTGTAAATTTTCATTAAAATTAATAAAATAAAATTTAAAAATAAGAGGAGACAGCTCATCTTTTTTCTGTGAGCAGCATTTTAACCACTGACCTTTAAGTATATATAAGATTAAGTTAAGATATATAACATAAGATTAAGATACAAGATATATAACATAAGATTGCAGGTTCAAGTCAGCCAGCCACTCTGTGAGAAAAAGATGGTAAGTCCCCTCCTGTAAAGATTTGCAGCCTTAGAAACCGAGTGGATGATTGCTTTGAGTCAGACGTAACTGGACGATAATGAGTTTTTTAAATTGTATGATAGTACATTGTCATTGTTGCCACTGAGTTGACTCTGATGATTGTGATTCATGATGACTACATGTGTGTGCAACAGAACTGCTCCATAGAGTTTTCTAGATTGTAATCTTTATGGCAGCTAATCACTAGATTTTTCTTCGGTGAAGCCACTGAGTGCATTTGAACTGCCAGCCTTTCACTTAGGAAGTAAGCACTTAACTGTTGCACCACCAAGACTCCTGAAAGTAGTAAAACAGTGTAATAAAATTTTTTAAAATGTAATTCCTCTTTGATCTTGTACTACTGTTTCTAAGAATTTATTTACCCTTCAGAATGAGTTCCTTGGATATGCAAAACCAAGGGTACATATTACAGTATTATTTATAATGGCAAAAGGGGAGGGGAGGGAACTGATTATGAGGGTAGTTGATATAGATCTGATAAAGTACAAAATGTTCATATAGTGGAATGCTGTGGATCCTTGAGAAGAATGAATACTAGAATGGATTCATCTTCTTGCTATTATATAAAATAAGAAAATAAGGTATATACATTAGTGTATGTACTATGCTGTCATTTGTATATATTTAATATCTTTGGATAAGCAGCATAAAAACTATTAGTTTTTACCTCTAAGAAGTGAATTGATAAGTGGGCATGTAAGTGAACCTCTTGAATTCTGTACTTGTTCATAACTTAGTTTTTATAATTTTCTGATGTTATCCTTTTATTGTTTAGAAGAATTATAGATGTTAAATTTAATACAGACTTTGTGTAGCTTTTAAAAAACACTGTTGTGTAGTAATTAAAGCTAAGGAAGGGTTCCAATCTGTTGTTCTTAGGGTCGCGATGAGTCTTTTTTGACTAAAGAGCACATAACAATTACATATTGTCTGTTACTGGAGCTTGAATAAGAATGTAATGACCTTTAAAATGGAATGTTATTTCAGTGGAGTCAAATAACACTTTTTGTTTATTTCTTTTTAACTTTAGGTATTATGACACTGTCACCTTTTGATCAAATGAAGACTGCCTCCAATATTGGTGGATTTAATGCAGCAATAAAAACCACTCCACCTGCCATGTCTCAGTATATCACTGTAGGGTCCAATCCATTTACCGGCTTTTTCTATGCTTTAGAGGTGTGATATTTATCTTTGATCATGAGTAATGTCACTCATTTTTTGTCTGGTTTGCAAAGTGGGTGTGTTAACTTAGCCTTAGGTTAAGTAGTTTAAATTTATGCATTTCAGTGAAAGTTGAAATTATCTCAATTTGCTTTCTTTCTAAAACCTTATAGACTAATTGGAAATGTTTAAGTCAATGAAATAAATTCTATGTTTTCAGAAGCCCTGAATTCATGGACACCTGAACTGGTTTTACATATTAACCTTGTATATAACTTATAGATGCCTTAAAGTTAATGATGTTTGTCCACCAAAGATTTGAATAAATGAAGAGTTGTAGAAATAGAACATGTTGCCAGATATAGTTGATCTGAATAGTGAAATTGCTTTTATAGATGAGGAAAAGTTAAGTGTTAGGTTTTGTACTTTTTCTCTTCAATTAAAAGCATCCTTCTAAGAATTGACTAAATTTATCTTTTTACTTTTATTAAAAAAACAAAAACAAAAAAAAACCAATCATCAGAGAGAGAGAACCATTTGTTTATAGATGTAAAATTCATAGACCAACTAGAAGAATGCTTGATCTGAATGAATTTTTAACAACTAAATAGAAATTTGAAGAAAGAAATTTTAAAGACAAAAACAAACTACCAGTGATTTTATTTTTTAACTGTAACTTTTAAGAGTTTTTCTTATATCGCTGCTTCTTACGTTTTTACTGCACCTTTGAAAGACGCTGAGTATTGTTGCCAGTCCAGCCTTTGCACATTTCTAAAACTTTCTAGTAAGCCTTTCTGGAATATTCTTAAGGCTTGTAATATCTTGTTTCTTTGTAAGGTGCTGAATTTTCTCTTTCATTTATTCTGATTTTCAGGGAAGCACACAACCATTATTGTCTCATGTTGCCCTTGCAGTTGCAAGTAAACTCACCTCTGCCTTGTTTAATGCTGCCAGGTAATTATATAAAATTTTTCTCATTTGTGTCTAGCTGAGTTGTAACTTGCACATTGACAGTTTGCAGCTTTAAACTCTGGAAGCTCTAGTTTTAATATTTTTCTTTTTTTTCCCAGTGGTTGGCTTGGTTGGAAAAGTAAGCATGAAGAAGAAGCTGCCCAAAAGCAAAAACCCAAGGTTGAGCCAGCTACACCATTAGCTGTAAGGCAAGTCTCTCTCTTGTTCTTTAATTTTAGTACTTTTAGGAAAATACTGTTAAATTTAAGACATTTCACTGTGTTAAGTGATTTATTGGCCAGTCTCATAAATCTGTGGAATTTGTAGAAATCATTAGTGTGGAATATTTTTCTCAGACCATAAGCTCCTTGAGGACTCATTTGTTGATTGCTGACTCATTACATATTAGATGCTCAATATTTAGATTCACAAATAACAAAACACCTATAAACAGCTTAAGTTGTATAGGAAAATAAGTTTTGTAGTAGCTGTTTAATTTCTTTAAATAGTTCATATAGTTTGTTACTAAGACATACAAAGTAATTTACAAAGTACATGCATTCTTTAAGAGTACCAGCCTATATTTCCTTGCCTGTCTCAAGAGTATACTATGTTATAGTAGTATAAGCTTTGTTGGGAGATCTGGTGGCCTAGTGGGTAAGGAGTTTTGCTGCATTCCCAAAGGAATGTGGTTCAGCTACCAACTGCTCCACAAGAGAAAGATGGGCAGTCTTCTGTGCAATTTACAGCCTCTGAAAATCCCCTGGATGGTCATTTGTGAGTTGATTCTGACTCGGTGGCACATACAACAATAACAACACTTTGTTAATGTTTTCATCAGGTTTTGGGAGATTTTTTGCCTGGTTTAGTTTTTATATAACATCTTATTATGTAATATAAAGTACTACCCCGAAAGGGTATAGAACTACTTCCCTACTCCTTTATAGATGTTTTATATTTAATGAGACTTTTCCTAATTTTTTCTTCATTTTATCTGAAAATATTTTATTGTAACATCATATTACCAAAATTCACCCAAGAATCAAGAAATAAGCCAAACTCCTATAAATTTCCCAAACTGGTGAAACAAAATTCACGCACTTTGTCTCGGGATCCTAATAAAAAATAGGCTGTTTCTAGCCTTTTCAAAGGACTTTACCTTTGTATTACTTACTCTCTAATGAGGCTAATCCGTTTTAATTCTTTTATTATTTTTGTGTGTGTTTACCGTCAAATGGGATCTGACTGGTACAGGAGGAAATTGCCCCTCCTTCTCCAGCAGAGCATCTGGTGGATTCGAACCACGTGCCTCTAGGATTGCAGTGCAACTTCTTGGAGGCTAATCCATTGACTGCCAGAAGACAAGGTTAATATCTAACAAAAAAGAATACAGAAGAAGTCAGACCTTAAAAGTGGACAAAAGATATAGTATAGGGTATTTTAAAGATAGTATTTCCTATGATACATCTCTTAGGGTAAAATTACACTCATTATTCTCAAAAAATGCAAGCTTAAATATTCTGTGCCGAAACCTTTTGATTTCATATGATTACATTTTTTATTTTATAATATAAGGAATTTTATGCCTTTTATAATGGAAAATGTTTAGTATAATTTGTTGATAAATTAATTAAAGTTCCTATTTCTTTACATTTCTTTGCTTTATTTTGCTTATGCAGTTTATTGCTCTAGATTCGAATGAGATCTGTATTTTGTTTTGTTTTTAAATATCAGATTTGGACTTCCAGATTCTAGACGCCATGGGGAAAGTATATGCCTTTCTCCATGTAACACACTGGCAGCTGCAACAGATGATTTTGGCAGAGTTATTTTGTTGGATGTAGCTAAAGGAATTGCAGTACGCATGTGGAAAGGTATTGCTTTCAAAAATCCCTTTGAAAAGTTAATGTAATTATTTTTTGCTTATTACTTTTTTCCTTTTCATTTCTTATGATTATCCCCACACATCGTATCGTATCTTATAAAATTGATCACCTTTGACCTATGCCTACTTTTACACTGTCTTTTCACATTGTCACTCAATCTCCTAATTCTTTTGTCCCCTCCCTCCATCCACCAAACTCTGCAACCCCAAAAAGTTACTTTTTAACCTAAAATTGAGCAACTGTATTATCTCTGGCTTTTTAATCTAATACTGTTTAACCTTTACTACTATTATTATTTAACATCAGTTCATATCAACACCTCACAGGGTTAATCTTGAATCAGATTTTTGCACCAAATCTAGAATGCCAAGTTTTTCTACCTTAAGATAGCAAAACTCAGCAAAATCTATTTTCCCAAACTTGACTTCCATATCCATATGTTTAGGTCTAACTGTGTAAGCTGCTCATAACAGAACCAAGATCACAGAACCCAGGGCTCTTTCTGTGTAACTTTTACTCTTAAAAGTTTTCTTGTGGTCTAGAATGCTTGAGGCTCAACCTATTTCATCTGCATTCCAGGAAGGAATTAAGGGAAGGGAAGAAGACTCCTGCCAATTTAATTACTTCACGTTGAAGATATTTTCTGAAGTCCCTCCAACTTTTAATCAAATTTTAGTTATATAACTGCATGTAACTCTTAGGAATACTTAAAAATATCTTTAACTTGACACACTACCTAAAGAAAATGAAATTTCTCCTGCTAATGAAGATGAGCAGAATGCATTATTGAAAATAGGACAATGGCTGCTTGTTGGAAACTGCAAGTATGGGGCACTGTGGTCTGTACTTGGTGATGTATAAATTTCAGTTCTCCAGACCCTTAATTTTTCAGTTAATCTTTTGAGACAGCTTCAAGAGTGTTCTCAGCAAAACTTTCAGAACACAGAAGAGGTAGCTGCACCAACTGATCCAAGCCCACTCTGAGGATCTTAGAGTGCATTGTTCCCTTTCCTGCATCTGGTACACTGTCCCTCATTTGATGCACTGTCACATATCTGGTGAACTGTCCTGTATCTGGTACAATATCCTGCATCTGTTGCACTTAAGTTTTTCTTTAAGAGTGAACATTATTTGAAACAGAAAACAGAGGAAGTGCAAAGAATGCTGTTAAAATGTGAAGATCCTAATCAATATCATGAAACCTAGTATCTATGACTTTTGAATAGAAAACCAATTTGTTCTGTAAATTTCTATTTAAAGCAAATTTTTAAAAAAAGCAAATTAAGTGTTGAAGAGAATGTGATGAGAAAGGAACTCTTATACATTGTTGGCAGAATTGTAGATTAGTGCAACCATTCTGGAAGGCAGTTTGACGCTTCCTCAACAAGCTGAACATAGAAATTCCGTATGACCCAACTATTCCACTACTTGGAATATATTCTGAGAAAATGAGAACTGAGGCACAAATGGAGACTTGTACACCAATGTTCATAGCTGTGTTGTTCACCATTGCAAGAACATGGAAACAGCCCAGATGTCCAACCCCAAGCGAATGGATTGAGAAATTATGGTATATTCACACAATGGAATGCTATGCAGCAAGCAGGAGCATTGATTTTGTAAATTATTACTTAATTTGGGAGGGACTGGAGAGCTTTATGCTGAGTGAACTAACTCAGTCCCACAAGTAAAAATATTACATAAAACCATTATTGTAGAATGAGTGTAAGGATCCAGGAGGGGTGGGAGAGGCTGGAAGCAGAGGGATGTGGATGTTCAGGGGGAGGGGGCATTAATCATGGGATTGTACAATTCAGAGGATGGAGGTATGAGGGAAATTGAAAGAATCTGTTCTCTAAAACAATGTATATGAATTTTGTAAATAAACTAGTGTAAAATTAAAAAAAAAGGAAAATTAGATATGTGGGGGGAAATAAACCAAAATAAAAACTTTTTTAAAAAAAAGTTCACTAATTAATCATAGATCACACTAACTTAAAATTAAGATCAAGATGAGAATTTTTTTTAAAAAGTGAGCAATGTTCCTTGGATAAAGAGGGGGGCTAGTCATTGACTGTGGAATGGCCACTCTTAAGTGCTTAAAATGAGAGAAATGTCTCTGCTTCTTTCTTCACATTAATATATTGTCCATATTTTCTTCTGTTTGCTTGTCTGAAGGGAGTTGAATAGTAGAAAATAAATTTAGTGTCATAAATACATATATTAGCATATATATATGGAAAATTATATGTGTTAAAAGATATATAAATACAAATTTAACATTTTGACCACTTTCAAGTATATCCAGGTCCGTGTCATTAATCTCATTAATTATGCTGTACAACCATAATCCCATCCATTTTCAGAAGTTTTTTCATTACCCTAACCAGAAACTCAGCATCACTTAAGCAGTATCTGCTCTAGATATTTCAGACAAGTAAATTATACAGTATTTTTTTATGTCTGTCTTGTTTCAAACAGCATAATGTCTTCAAGTTCATCTGTGTTGTAATATGTATCAGAACTGTATTTCTTTTTATGACTGAGTACTATTTTGTGTACCCTTTCTTCTGGTGATAGACATGTGTTGTTTCCACCTTGGGCTATTGTGAATAGTGCTGCAGTGAATATTGGTGTACAAGTACAATTGGGAGAAAGCATCTCTGCTTTTACATCTTTGGGGCATGTACCCAGAAGTGTAATTGTTGGACTTCTTTTAATTGGACTTAATTTTTTTTTATTGTATTATTTTTACATGTACCATCAAATCAGATCTGACTGGTACAGGAGGAGATTGCTCCCTCCTTCTCCAGCAGAGCATCTGGTGGATTTGAACCACGTACCTCTGGGATTGCTGGACTTACTCTTTTAAAGAAAATGAAGGGAAAGGAATTTAATTAGGGAGGTTAGCAATAAATGTTTTGTTTTAAAAACTAAGATGTAATCTGAGAAAATACGACATAATATTGATATTTAAGATGGGTTCAGTGTTCATTAAAGAAGAGCTTTAATGAAAGAAGAAAAAGGTATGTTATAGCTCTTAATCTTATTTTCTACCCTCCCTCAAAATATTTGACAATACTTAGGAAGCCTGCTTACTAATGAACTTTAATTTGTTGATTGGCTTCTCTTTTCCTCTGTCACTAAGGGTATCGTGATGCACAGATTGGATGGATCCAGATTGTAGAGGATCTCCACGAAAGAGTACCAGAAAAAGTGGACTTGTCCCCCTTTGGAAATACTCAGTGTCCAAGCCGAGTAGCTCAGTTCCTTGTGATCTATGCACCACGACGGGGGATCTTAGAAGTGTGGAGCACACAGCAGGGGCCTAGAGTGGGAGCTTTCAATGTAGGAAAGCACTGTCGGTAAGCTGCAAATTGGGATATTTGCCATTTACAGGAAGAAATACAGATATGCTTTTATTAAATTTATTTAAGGAGCTACTTACTAGATTTCAAGTTTTTGAGAATTGAAATGTCCCATATTATGATTTTTTACCATGAGTATACCGTCTGTAATTAAGGATAATATACTGAAATCTCCTATTCTTTATGTAGTGAGACACAATAGGAAAAATTCCTATTAAAGTTCCTGGTGATGAAATATCAGGTCCTAGAGTGGTCCAGACTGCTACTGGAAGGTTGGAGGTTTGAACATGCTCCTTGAAAGACAGACCTTATCAGTCTGTCTCTCAGTCACTATTTTGAAAATTCTCTCTGTCAGATGTTTTCTTTGCCTTGACTCTTCATTTAATTTTCTAGTAAACTGTAATTCATTACAACTCTGCCTGCTTTGCTTGGATTTGGGTATCAGTCACTATTTTTCTTGTTGATGCTTCTGAAATTATGTTAATATAAGGTTCTCCAACTATAATAAAACTACTTTTTTAAAAAAATTAGCTAATATTTTCACCATACTGGTATGTGATTTCTCTAGGTTATTATATCCTGGCTATAAAATAATGGGCTTAAATAATGTTACCAGTCAGAGTTGGCAGCCACAGACTTACCAGATCTGTCTTGTTGATCCAGTGTCTGGAAGTATGAAAACAGTGAATGTTCCTTTCCACTTAGCACTGAGGTAAGGCTGAATAAGGGTCTGCTAATTGACATCCCTGTGGTATCTTTTTCTAATCCTTTATTTTGCAGACTGTTTTGTTGTTCTTTGAATCATTAAACTGATATCACTAAAGTTAAAATTGGAAGAATGCAGAGGAAAAAGAGCATTGAAGTGCTTCAGAAGTAGAAGGAAAACTTGATTTCATTTTCTGCAAAAATGTGTTTTACTTATTGTTTTAGTGATAAAAAGAGTGAACGGGCCAAAGACTTGCACTTAGTGAAGAAACTAGCAACGTTACTGAAAACAAAGTCATCCAATCCAGGTAGATCTCCTTTAATAAAAATTAAAGCATGCTGCTTTCTAAGTTTTTTCAGTAGATAGAACAGTCTAAATGAACACTCAAGAATGTGGAAATGGCTTTATTGCTACCTCAACTTCTTGATGAAATAAAGGAGAGAACTAATTATCATTTGTATTTTTTTATTTGAATTTCTGTGCCAAGATTAAGTGTGCCATGTAGGTAGATTAGAAAACGGTAGCAATAAAATTATAGACCTTCAGTAATCCTTTAGTGTGGCTGATAGAATTTATATGGGCATTGCTGTTTTAGATAAGTTTATTTATTGACAGTAAAGGTGAAAATTTTACATTAATTTTCTCTTTTTAGATTCACTTGAAATGGAAATAAAGGAATTAGTTCTTGATATTAAGTACCCTGCAACCAAAAAACAGGTAAGTCACATAATGCATCAAATTTCCTGCTGAATATATATTCCAAGTAAGAAGGTCTTTCTTGGCCTCTTTCCTTCCAAAAATGACAGGGCAAAGCTTGCTTTCATATTTTTATTTCTATTTGTTTACTTTATGGTCCCATGTAGAATTTTCTGTTGTCTTCTTTTTATTCCTTTGTCAAGTAATATTATCATACATGTGAGTGCATGTCTTTATTTTTTTTTATTAAATTTTATTAGTTTTAATGAACATTTACAGAGATTTTGGGTTTTCATTCATTCATTGTTGCACTGTTTTCTCCACCCTCATCCCCAGTTCGTTCTTCTCCCCCCCCCCATGTCTGTTTTAATTGTCCAATTGCCACAGTGCTTGTCAAAGCCAGTTCTGATTAATCTCCTTTGTCAGTGTGTCCCTTGCCATTCCCTATCACTCCTCCCTGAGAGAGACTTCACCCTGATTCATAAGGAAAAGGGGATGGCGTATTCTCTTAACTACTTCCTGCTGAACAGGGACGCTGTGGGTTTCAGGGTGAAGGTCTTCTCTCACTACTCTAAAGGGCCCCCTTGGCAGTAGGAAACACATAGACTATTATGGAGATTGATTTTGGAATTTAGATGCACTGTTATCAATTGTGCTTAGCCGTATATGTTCATATCTTTGAAGATGTATCATGGAAGTGTTGCAGCCTAGAAGATACAAATTTAACTAACAAGTTAAAAGTGCATGAGTCAAAAATTGAAAAGCAATAATATTCTGAGTAGAGGTTCTAATAGTGGCACAAATCAAGTTACAGAGGTAAGGTGGTTCCCTGTGAGTGCATGTCTTTATAAACACATGTTCCTGAACACACACATCCATCCATATATATTTATAACACATATATGTTCAGTTTAGAGAATAATCATCAAATTCAAGTACGATGAGCCATCTGAGGGTTTGCTAGTACTCTGAAGAATCCTGCATGCTTCTCTTCTCTCCTGGCATCTCTTTTATCCCATGGTAACCACTGTTGAATGTTGGTGTTTCCCTTTCATTTGCTCTCCTTTATCTTACACCTTCATGAATTGATAAAAACATACTGATGTATTTTCTGTATATTCACACTTTTATAAATGAAATAATGATCTGTGTGCTCTTCTGAGACTTTCTTTTCTCTTTCAATCTGTTTCTGAGAGCCAACCATGTTGATACCTGTAGCTGTAGTTGATTACTATAAGCTGCATGAATTCCTGATCCAAACCATGGTGTTTTCAGTTGCTTCTTATGCCTTTGAAAGTTGGACAATGAATAAGGAAGATTGGGGAAGTCTTAATACCTCTGAATTGTGGTGCTAAAAAAGAGTACTGAGTATCCCACGGACTGCCAAAAGAACAAGCAAGTCTGTCTTGGAGGAAGTGGAACCAGGGTGCTTCTTAGAGGCAAGGGTGGGGAAGTTTCCTCCCACATATTTTGGGCATTTTATCAGGAAGGGGGAAAAGATATCATACTGGGAAAGATAGAGGTCAAAGAATGAGAAGAGACCCTCAACAACATGGATTGACATAGTGACTATACCAGTAGGCCTAAGGTGATGAGAGATGGTGAGGAGGATGAAGGAACACAGCATAGTTCAGGTCTGTTGCTCATAGAGGTGCCGTAAGTCATGCACTACTCAAAGGCATGTAACAAGAAGCATGTGAATTCCACTCTGTAGTTATAATTTAATTTTTTCATTTACTTTCTTTTCGCAAACATTTCAGTTGTGCCCTTTTTTACACTTTGTTACAGTGATGCTGTGCTTATTCTTGTGTGTGTTTCCTGATGCAGTTTCTACCTAAGAGTAAAAGAGCTTCTTCAGCTTTAATAGGTGTTGACAAACTATTTCCCAAAATTGTTGTACGAATGTATATGCTCCTATCTGTGCTGTGTAAGAATCATCACTGCCCTGAATTCTCAATGTCCTCTGATATTATCAGACTTTCTGACTTTTGCTAGGCTTGTGGATGTAATGTGGTAACTCATTTTTATTTCCTTTGCTCCTTTTTCTTTTATCAAAACTCTTCTTAATAGTACTCAAATTCTAAAACCATAAAATCTTGTATGGCACTTCAGTCCCCATGAGCATCTATACACTGTAGTACAGAACTCAAGCATTTCTTCTGTTTGATAGCATCTTTCTTATCTTACACCATCATCATAGAATAAAACAAAATTGGGAGGCTTTCACATAAGGTCCAAACTGATGAGTAGGAAAGGAGCTCTGGTGGCCTAATGATAAGGTGTCGCATGGTCAACCAAAAGGCAAGAAGTTCAAATCCACCAGCTGTACTATGGGAGAAAGATGGACAGTCTATTCCCATGTGACTTATAGCCTCTGATGACCCACTAGGATCAGCAGTGAGTTAATTCCAGCTCGATGGCTGTGAGTGAGTGAATGAATGAGTTCATGCATGCTACTTATGAGTAGTGTATAAAGCTATGCATTTTAATTGTTACTATATTTTAGAGTGGTACCGTACTGTTCTGTCAGTATGCTGTTCTGAGGTGACCTGGTGTTGCTTGATGCTGAACCTTGTGCCATTGGGGTGTCAAATGTCATAATGGTTATCCGTGGTAGACAGTTTTTGGTGGAGCTCCCAGTTTAAGACAGATTTGGAAGCAGGAGAGGCATCCACTTCCTAAACAACATGCCTCCAAAAACTCTTATGGACTTTAATAAATGTCGGTAGTTATAGAAAGGCTTCAGGTCTTTTGTTCATAGGTTGCTGTGAGTCATGCTTGACTCAAAGGCAATCAACAACAACAAAAACATGGGGGGAAACAGCAAAAAATTGTGGGTTCTTTATATGAGCGGAAGAGAAGAAACTAGATTAATAAACTGTCACATAGGGGGAAAAGTAAGCAAGATGCTAGCCTGAAGTCATCAGCAGCAGAATGGTGGTAGATTACATTTGTCTTGCTTATTTTCATCTTTTGGTCACTTTCTTTATATTCTCCAGGTTAATACCTGGCCAACCTATTGTATTATGTAAACCCCTTTCCTCTCCATAAACACAAAACAATTTTTGTGTTATAATTCGGTATTTATTGCACATGGCAAGCTAATTTTAATTCATAAGATTAATTGTACAGTACTTCCTATACTGAACCTAAGTAATAAAATACAATTTAAGATGTTAATATGTCATTGTGCTGTCAAATTAGAACTGACTCAAAACCGACCCTCCAGTGGGTTTTCAGAGGTAGTAAATCATGCAGGAGGAGATTCCCATCCTAGTGGTTTTGAACTGCATGCCTTTGGGATTGCAACACAGCTTCTTGCTGCCAGGCAGATATGGAGAGATAAATATTACCTACAGTGCCTAACTCATTGTTTTTGTTGGTTTCTACTTTAAACATGAAATTTTGAAACTGGTGATAGAACAAGGGGGTTGGCAGTTTGATAGGATTGAGTATGGAGTATCTATGTCTAGCTCTATCTATAGATACAAATATCTACATTTATAAAGGAAATGTATATTTCTACAGATATAGGCATATATGCTTCAGATAGATTGTTTTGTTGTTGTTATGTGCGGTCGAGTCGTTTGCGACTTATAGCGACCCTATGCACAACAGCCCTAAACCCTGCTCTATCCTG